TTCCAGGAATGAAAGGATGTTTTAACGTCCAAACATCAAGTAACGTCATACACCATATGAATAAAAGACAAGAACCACAATATGTGCAGGGGGAAGAAGGCATTTGACAGAATCCAACATTTATTCATGATGAAAACTCTCAACACACTAAGACTACAAGGAAACTTCCTCAACCTCATAAAGCGTATCCCAAACCTGTAGTTAATATCCAACTCCATGGTCAAAGATTGCTTTCCCCAAGATCAGGAAGAAAACAAGCATGTCTGCTCTTACCGCTCCTATTTGACACTGACCTTTATACTACAGGTTGTAGGCAGTACAAAGGGAAGCGAAGGGAGGATTATAGAATGAATGCCCCCCCAACACCCCATTCATGCATTGAATCCCTAATCCCCAATGTGGCTGTATTTGGGTAAGGAAGTAATTACGGTTAGATAAGTAAGAGTGGGGTGACTCTGATCTGACAGGATTAATGTCCTTATGAGAGGAGGAACCAGGGAGCCCACTGTCTTTCTCCCCATGCCAAAGAAGAGCCACAGAGAGGGGCGCCTGGGTGGCTCAGTCAGTTGAGTGTCCGAATTCAGCTCAGGTTGTGATCTCACGGTTCCTGAGTTCAAGCCCTGCGTCAGGCTCTGTGCTGACAGCTCGGAGCCTGAAGCCTGCTTTGGATTCTGTGTCTCCCTCTCTCTCTCTGCCCCTCCCCTGCTCATACTCTGTCTCTCTCTCTCTCAAAAGTAAATAAACATTAAATAAAAAAAGAAAAGAGCACACAGTGAGATGCAGCCACCTATAAGCCAAGAGAAGAGGCCTCAGAATGAGATCTACTCTACCAGCATATTGATCCTGACTTCCCACCCCCCAGGACTGTGAGAAAAGCACTTTCTGACATTTAAGCCACCCGACCGTTGTGTTCTATATGACAATCTGCATAGACTAATGCAGGAAGGAAGGGTATCCAGCTTGGGAAGGAAGAAGTAAAGAGATCTTTATCCAGGGATGACATGATCCAGTTTCCAAAGATTTCAGGATACGAAATCAATATACAGAAGCCAACTGTATTTCTGTTATTGCAACAATTCAAAAATTAAATAATTCAGCTCATAACAGCAAAGATTTCATCAGGTGTAAGGCCTGTGTGTGACAGCTACAGAGCTTACTGAAGGATATTACAGAAGACCCAAAAGAAGTCTAGACGTTCCATGTTCATGAATTACAAGCCTCAAAACTGTCAATATGGCAATTCTCCCCGAAACTGATCTACATATTCAATATAAGCCTCAGGAAAATCCCCACAAGTTGTTTTTTTTTTAATAAATAGGCAAGGTGATCCTAAAATTATATAGAAATGCAAGGGACCCAAAATAGTCTAACAATTTTGAAAAAGAAGTTAAAAGACTTTATACAACCCATTTTCAAAACTGCCTGTAAAGCTATAGTAATCAAGATAATGTGGGGCTCGTGTAAGGACAGGCATCTAAGTCAATGGAGTATAACAGAGCCTAGAAATAAACCTTTGCATTTCTCATCAATGGATTCTTAGGGACGGTGCGGGGATAGTTCATCTTTTTGAAAAGCGGTGCTAGAACGATTGGATATCCACATGCAAAAAAGATGAATTTAGACCCTTACCTTCCATTATGCATGCACACAAAAAATTGGTAAAGATGCTTTAAAGTCTAAAAGTAAGCCAAAACTCCAAATCCTCTAGAAGGCAGCACAGGAGAAAATCTTTGTGAGCTTGGGTTAAGCAGAGCCCTGAGCTATGTCACCAAAAGCATGATCAATAAGACAAAGACACTGATAAACTGGAATTCATCAACATTAAAAGCCTTTACACGTCAAGAGTTTTTCCTACCACAATTAAGAAAGAGACAAGCCACATATACAGAGAAAATATTTGCAAATCATAGTTCTGATTAAGCAACTATATCCAAAATAAAGATCTCTTACAATTCAACAAGAAAACAACCTGATTTTAAAACATGTAAAATATACGAATAGTTACCAGAGATATATAAATCATTAATAAGTACATTAAGAGATATCCAATGGGTATCTGGGTGACTCAGTTGGTTAAGTGTCTGACTCTTGATTTCAGCTCAGGTCATGATCGCACGGTTCATGGATTCAATTTGACCTGGCATCAGGCTCCACACTAGTAGTGTGGAGCCTGCTTTGCATTCTCTCTCTCTCTTTCTCTCTCTCTCTCTCTGCCCCTCTCCAGCTCATGCCCTCGCTCTCTCTCAAAAATAAATAAATAAATAAATAAATAAATAAATAAATAAATGAAAAAAGACTGACAGTAACAAGTGCTTGCGAGGATGTGGAGAAACCAACTCTTGGAGTGCTTTTTGTGGTGTAAAATGGTACAACTTCATTGTCAAACTGCTTGAAAATGTCTTAAAATGTTAAATTTACCACATGACCCAGCAATTCTCTATCTAGGTTTCTACTTGAGAGAAATGAAAATACATTTTCACATAATGATCTGTATGCAAATGTTCAAACCAGCGATATTCATAAGAGTCCCAAACTAGAAACAATACAAATTTCACCAAGTGGGGAATAAGTAAACATGTGATACACCCATGGGTGCCTGGGTGGCTCAGTTGGTTAAGCATCTGACTCTTGATTTGGGGTCAGGTCATGATCTCACAGTTCGTGAGTTCAAGCCCCGCATCAGACTTCACGCTGACAGCACAGAGCCTGCTTGGGATTCTGTGTCTCTCTCTGCCCCTCCCTGCTCGCTGTCTCTCTCTCAAAATAAATAAATACACATTAAACAAAACTTTCAATGTGATACATCCAATCAATGGAATACTATTCATCAATTTTAAAAAGGAACTATTGATACATTCTGCGACATGGATGAACCTCAGATTATACTCAGTGAAAGAAGCCAGACACAAAAGGTCACGTGTTGTCTGATTCCATTTACATGAAATGTCTAGAAAAGGCAAATCTGTAGAGACAAAAAGTAGATCAGTGGTTACCTGGGGCTGGAGGTGGTAACAGGGATTGACTTCAAACAGCAATAGGGAAAAATTTTATGGGGATGGAAATGTTCTAAAACTGGATTGTGTTGTACACAACTCCACAAATTTGCTTAAAATTTACTGATTTATATACACTTACAATGATTAAATTTTATGGTATGTAAATTATATCTTAGATTAAAAATAGAAAAATTAAGTTATGGCTGGGTTTCAATGATTGATTATAGCATGGATAAGCTACTTAAGGCCATTTGAAATTAGCAATAACTGAGATAATAGAAACAATATTTCCAAGTGGTTTCAATAAAATACAGAGGATAGGAAGATATTAATTGTACAAACATATTACAAAATTCTATACAGGCATATTTTTATAAAATCTTCATCTTTGTTAAATGGCATTAACAAAACAGTGTTAACCCATAAATGAATGTGATACATTTGTGTACTTGAATGCATGTGTGCGCAAGTGTGTACCTGTGTAAGTGCATTAAGAAGGTAGAATAAGGGGGTCAGGGAAGACTGCTCATAGTCTCAGTGGTTTGACTTTTTTCTAGGACTGTATCTAGGTCTTGTTTTATTCTGAAATTTCTAAGACATTTCAAGCAAATAACAATCGCAACATATAATAAATGTAACACTTTACAGAATGTGGCCAAGGATGTGTACAGAGGAAAATGTGTAGCCTTTCTTATTAAATAAGGAAGAATAAAAATGAATGAAATAGTCAACTCAAGAAGCTAGAAAGGTGCAGCCACTGTGGAAAACAGTGGAAAATTAAAAATACAACTACCATATGATCCAGTAATTCCACTACTGGGTATTTACTCAAAGAAAATGAAAACACTAATTTGAAAAGATACATGCACATCTATGTTGACTGCAGCAGTATTTACAATAGCCAAGATGGGGAAACAGCCCAAGTGTCCATCAACTGATTAATGGATAAGGAGATGTGATATATATGTACAATGGCAGCCATAAAAAAAGAATGAGATCTTGCCATTTGCAATAACACGGATGGGGTTAGAGAATATAATGCTAAGTACAAGAAGTCAGAGAAAGATGAATACCATATGATTTCACTTATATGTAGAGTCTAAAAATAAAGCAAATGAACAAACAAACAAAAAACAAATAGACTCTTAAAAACAGAAAACAAACTGGTAGTTTCCAGAGGGGATGTTGAGTGGAGGGATGGGTGAAATAGATAAAAGGGATTAAGAGGTACAAATGACCAATTATAAAATAAATAAGCCACAGAGATTCAAATTACAACATGGGGAACATGGTCAATAATACTGTAATAATGTTTTTTGGTGACAGATGGTGACTACACTTACTAACGATATGCCAATTATACTTCAATAATAAAATTTAAAGAAGCTAGAAAGAAGAGAAAAAGTTTTAAAAGATGATAAAAGATAAAAGCTGACGTTAATTAGAAAACAGACCAGAGAAAAAGCAGATTGATGAATCCAAGAACTGGTTCTTTTGAAAAAACCAAAAACCTCCACACAAATGGGAAGACAACCTCTTTGCTGGTTTTCATAAACAATATCCACTTGCAAAGCTCACAAACTTCTTTCTGAACTTTTGTCTCCCTGGAAATTGGGGGGAGGGAGGTGCTTCACACAGACCGTTCGCGGACAAGTTCAAGTCATACCTTGGATGTCAGTGTTTTAAGCCTTCTTGGTGGCTGTGGAGGGAGGGAGATTTTCCTTAGCACCCAGCCTTCAAGGTGAACTCCGGGGCCAAGGTAAAGGTGACAACACCTAAGAGCGTTCCTTTTCACTTTCAGGAATGATGGGCACCTGACGGCTGGGAGTGAACGCTTCTGACCTGGTTCAGCCCCCAACCCGGCACCTCTTACGCAACCTGCCCGGGATCCCAGGAGAGCAGGCACAGGAACTGGTCATCTGCCCTATATCCCCCGTGGTGACTGGACAGCCCAGGTGGGGCGAAGGCCTGGGACCCCTGTCCCGGGGAGGAGAGAGTGCCCACCTGGATCAGGCTGTGCTCCTGGCCTCTGTTCTTTAGTGCCATGGTGTTCCGCCACTGCAGATACTTCTCCTGGTGGGCTTGGATCTCATAAGCGAGGTCGGATTTCTGACCTCGGAAGTCCTCGAGATTGGGGGTGGGAGGAGTTGGCAAGACCAGCGGCTTTCCATCTGTGAGGCCTTCTTGCGAAATGGGCAGCCCCAGCTCTCGGCTCAAGTCTTTGACCATGGCGGAGGATGGCAGCAGGTCTCCTGTGATCACCTCCCTGAGTTTGCTGCTGTGATAGCAGATGCAGTAGATCCTGAAACACAGAGGGCACCCCCCCCCCGCAACACAGCCTCGTCTAACCTTTCAAGATGGGCGAAAGCAGCCCCATTTCACAACACCAAAGGGAGCTCAGAGGTTGGCCAGCTGGTCCCAGATCACAGACCTCATACACGCAGAGTTTAGACTCCACTCGGACAAGCCCACAAAACCAATGCCCCCTTTCTGCTCTCCTCCCAGCCCCCAGAAGTTAAGGGCTTTCCACAGTCCACTCTGATTATTTTCTGCTACCGTGGCCTTATTCCACACCTGTCACCAACCTGCGCCCCATCAGGGTATAGCCCCAACCAGCTAGCTGGTCAGGGGTGTGGATCTCAGAGCTCCTGCCGCAGGAGGAAGGCAGTACACACACAGCCTCGTGTCTCCACAAAGCTCAGGACTGAGCGGCCACCCCCCATGCCTCCCCCCACGTCCCCTGCCCTGAGACTCCTCCTCACTGCCCTCTCCCGGGGGGGCCGGTGCACCTTGGGCACTTGGCTGACGCTGATGTTCTACAACATACACATAGCAGCTGTTACTTGCTGCTCACTGTCTCTGACACTCCCAAGGTCCACTGCGAGGGGGCATGCCTGAGGATGGCAGGCTCTGCCTCTCACCCGCTAAGCTCTCTGGCCACCATGGGACCTTGCAGATGGGAATAAAGCCACGATGAGGGCAGCTGCCCAGGATGCAGCCAGCACTTCATAAATAGCGGTTTTCTTCCCTTTCCCTAACACCTCCCCACCCCAGCTACTTCCTGTCTCCAACAGGGCAGGGTCCAGCCTCCTCTGACTGACTGCCAAGGCTCTGGACACCCCCATGTCCCAGCATCTCCCCACCATGAGCCTGAGGCCCACTGCACACACGACCCTTCCTGAGTTGCAGCTTCGGCCTACTGTTTCAGGGCTACCCTGCCTAGCCCCTCAGGCAGACCCGCGCGTGGAGAAGTGGGAAATAATAGGACTAAGTCCTCTTTCTCCGCGTCCGGGCTCTCTCCCTTCCTCTCTCTCTTGCCTCTGCCCTCTCCTTCATTAATACGTTCAATCAGCTGGGCGCCACGTCTCGGCCACGGCTGTTGCTGCTTTTAAAGGTGTAAAGAGACAGCCGGTACCCCTGCCCCAGACGGCAGTGAGAGGACTTGTCCACCTGATGAATGCCCGCTCACTGACGTTCAACGTCAGCCTTTCCTGACCTCCCGAAAGAACCAGCCACGGTCCTTCGCTGCCCCCACGAAGCCCAGCACAGGCTGGCCAGGGTCCCAGGAGCCCCACCGAACTATGCTTTCTCCGTCTCTGCTTCCAAACTGGGTGTGCCTCGTTCGGCCCCACTGCTACCGGGCGGTGACTGTTCCCTACGTGAAGGGAGGAGGTCCTCCTGGAGCACGAGCCGTGCTCAACCCAGCTGGAGGAGCACACAGCTTCCCAGGGTTGAGCACAGATTAAGGCATGCCCTGTTTAAGATCTAGATCTTTGGAGGATGCCTTTCTGACGGTGGCTTTCTGGACAGGCCGCTGGGGAAGAAGCCAACAAAAGCAAACATCCAGTTGGTAGAGACAACTGCTGCAGGCCTGGTGGATCTGGTTCTGGTCCTCATCACTCACTGGGAAAAGGGGTTTTACCCCCCCCCCCCCCTCACTGCTCACGCTGTTCTAGGCTATTATTCCCCAAGAGCAGCAGAGAGCATCCTGTGACCCCTGTTCAAGTCAACCACCCTCCCTTCCCCAGTGCGATTCCAAAACCCACTCGGTGGGGGCGGGGGGGGGGGGAGGGGGCATGACAGAAGCTCGGGTCCCTCGGAACTGTGCTCCACTCCTGATTCGACTCCTTTGGGCATGAAGAGTATCAACAACTGCCCCTGGAGGGGCCCCCCCACGAGGCCCCGGCGCCCGCCCCTAGGGAGGGGACCTTCATCTCCGTGGCAGCCTGGCACACCTGGTCAGGGCCTGGAAGGTCTTCTCTGGAACGGTGTTGCGGACGTAGAGCACCGAGTGCTTCATGAGCTGCGACAGCGGCTTGAAGAGGTGCACTTGGTACAGGACGGTCTCCAGGTCTGCGTACAGGCGGTGGCGAAACAGTAGCGCGGAGTTGTAGAGCACCTTGCATTTCCCGTGTTCTGCTTTGGTGTTTCTGCAAGGAGCCCGCAGGGCGGGGTTTTACCAGCACCGCTCTGCAAGCCCCCAGAATGCTCCGCGGTTTTGCCCTTTGGCAAAAGCCTTTTCCTTTTCTTTTCCCTTTCTTTCTCTTTTTGCTTGTTTAAAAACACACAAGCAGAGGGGCACCTGGGTGGCTCAGTCAGTTGAGCATCCACCTTTGGCTCAGGTCATGGTCTCACAGCTCGTGAGTTCGAGCCCCGTGTCAGGCTCTGTGCTGACGATCCTACTTCAGATTCTATACCTCCCTCTCTCTTCTCTGTCCCTTCTCTGCTCATGCTCTGTCTCTCTCTCTCTCAAAAATAAATAAACATTAAGAGGTACAAACTTCTAGTTATAAAATAAATAAGTCACAGGGATGTAATGTGCAGCACAGGGAATAGAGTCTATAATATTTAATAACTTTGTACGGTTACGGTTACGGATGGTAATCCGATCTACCATGGTGATCATTTTGCAGTGCATACAAACATCAAATCACTGTCCTGTACACCTGGAACTAATATAATATTGTAAGTCAATTATAATTCAATTAAAAAGAAAAGAAGACTTGGGGCGCCTGGGTGGCTCAGTTGGTTAAGCGGCCGACTTCGGCTCAGGTCATGATCTCGCGGTCTGTGAGTTCGAGCCCCACGTCAGGCTCTGTGCTGACAGCTCAGAGTCTGGAGCCTGTTTCAGATTCTGTGTCTCCCTCTCTCTCTGACCCTCCCCCGTTCATGCTCTGTCTCTCTCTGTCTCAAAAATAAATAAGCGTTAAAAAATTAAAAAAAAAAAAGAAAAGAAGACTTATGTCCATGTAAAAACCTGTACGTCATTGTTCACGGCAGCTTCATATGTAAAAGTCAAAAACTGGGAATAACCAAAAGGTCTCTCAATAAATGGATGGTTCAACTGTGGTACATCCATTTCATGAAATACTAATCAGCAACAAAGAGGAATGAGCTATTGACATACACAAAAGCTCGCATGGACCTGTCACAATCTATACTGAGTGGAGAAAACCCAATCTCCTAAGGTCATATACTGTATGATTCCATTAATATGCAAGATTATACACAGATGAAAAAATTAAGGAGATGGAAAACAGGACGGAGAAAGAGGGTGGGACTTCATTAGCATAGTGGTCATACAAATTTGTATTTGACCAACTGGCACAGACAACACACACAATGTATTGGTGTCAGCGTCCTGGTTTAGATATTGTACTGTACTTAGGTAAGATGTAACCACTGTGGGGAAAGGGTCTGTGAGATCTCTGTGACATTCTTTAAACTTCCTGTGAATCTATAAGGATCTCAAAATAAAAAGTTGAGGGGCACCTGGGTGGCTCAGTCGGTTGAGCGTCCGACTTTGGCTCAGGTCACGATCTCACGGTTTGTGAGTTTGAGCTCCACGTCAAGCTCGGTACTGACGGCTCGGAGCCTGGAGCCTGCTTCGGATTCTGTGTCTCCCTCTCTCTCTGCCCCTCCCCTACTCGTTGCACTCTCTCTCTCTCAAAAATAACCATTAAAAAATTTTTTAGAAAGTTGAAAATGTACACAGATTTTTAATCCAGCTGGAATTGATGTGTGTGAATGGTTCGATGTAGGAAATTATTTTCCTTTTTTCTTCTGGATAAACAATTATCCCAACACCATTTTTTGAAAAAATTTTCTCCTTTCCTCAGTTTTTTGGTTTTTTTTTTTTTTTTTTTGCCCTCTAGAGGTACTTTTCTTTTTTATTTATAACGTTTATTTATTTTGAGAAAGAGAGAGAACATGAGCAGAGGAAGGGCAGAGAGAATCCCAAGCAGGCTCTACACTGTCTGCGCAAAGCCCAACACGGGGTTTGAACTCACAAACTGTGAGTTCATGGCCTGAGCTGAAACCAAGCGTTGGTCACTTAACCCAACTGAGCCACCCAGGCGCCCCCCAGAGGTATTTTTCGACTGAGATTTAATTCACACTCCATACAATTCATTCGTTTAATGTGTATACTTCAATCGTTTTTACTCATGAACCATGAGATTATGATCTGAGCAAGAGTCAGATGCTTAACCAACTAAGCCACCCAGGTGCCCCCCTAATGGCTATTATAATCTTGTTATAAAGTTATATACTGTTTAGCGTGGATATATAGTCTCATTTACCTTGAGCATTTACCTCGGAGTGGGGCTGCTAGGTCAAATAGTAACTCTTTTGAGGAACTGCCAGACTATTTTCCAAAGTGACTACACCATCTAATTCACCTAATTCTTACCAGCAGTGAATAACAATTCTGATTTCTCCAACATCCTTGTCAACACTTGCTATAATCTGACGTTTTTATTCTAGCCAGACTAGTGGGTGTAAAGTGATATTGCGTTATGTAAATTCACACTTTTAATGCATTTAAAATTCATTCCCACTGATTTTTCAATCTGCATATGTCATATGTCAAGTTACCACTTACATGTAGGTCTCTTTTTGGATTTTCTATTACATCCCATACATCTGCTTGTCTATCCCTGAACCAATACGTGATCTTAATCACTGTGGTTTTATCATGAGTCCCGATATCTAGTAGAGCAAGTTCTCCCATCTTGTTCTTATTCAAGAATGTATTTTTTGCAGGCTGATGTAAATTCATAAATCAGATTTTCAAGTTCCATACTTTTGAAAAAGTGGCATTTTTAAATTGATATTGCATTGAATCTATATATCCAATTTGGGGATAACTGACACCTCTACATTATTACGTGTTCAAATCCATGAACATGGTATGTCTCTTCGCTTATTTAGGTTTTCTTTAATGTTTCTAAAAGTTCCATAGTATTCGTGATAGAGGTCTTCCACTCCTTTATGTTGAATTTATTCATGCAAATTTCATATTTTTATGATACTTAAAAGTATTAACTTTTTTAAAAATGATTTTTGTATGTAGATAGTATTCAGACATTCAATAGATTTTTACATTAACTTTTATATCCAGAAACCTCTAAACTATCTCCTCTGAAAACATTTTTATATATTTGGAATTTCTTGTACATATTTAAGTTTACTGACATAGTTTACAATGCTTATTTCAATCTCTGCAACATCTATCAATCATTTTCAGACTTTCTTCTTTTCTAATGTAAGTATTTAAGTCTATAAAGTTTCCTCTAAAGAAAACTTTAACATTACCCCACAAATTTAGATATTATACTCTTTTCATTAGTGTTGAATTCAACAATGTCTAAATTATATTACAATTTCTCTTTTGACTCATGGGTTACTTGGAAGTATTTGCTAATTTCCAAGCATGTAAAATTTTTTCTTGGTTAGTAATTTTTTATTTGTAGTTTAATTTAACTGGGGTCCATGAACATACTTTATATCATTTCTCCTACTGGGAAAAAAACTGTTCATTGAGATACAAGATCATACCATACCCCCCGACTTAGCCAAACTACAAAATTTGAGGTCATAGTCCCTGAAACTGCCCTGATTTCTAATACCAACTGAAGTTCAGGGGGTTCCTAATACCACCCCCAGGCTCACCGATTATTCAACTTATTGAAAGCTGTTATACTCACACAGCTTATTACAGGGAAAGGATACAGATTAAAATCAGCCAGAGGAAGAGACATAGGGCAGGGTACAGGATGGTTCCAAACACCAAGATTCCATTGCTCTTTCCTCATGGAGTCAGGATGTATCACCCTTATGACACTGATGGGACAATATGCAGAGAGAAGTTCCCCCAAGCCCTAGTGTGTAGAGTCTTATTTGGGCTCCATTACAGGGACATGACCAATTTACTGCTTGATTGCCCACATGGCAATCTCAGTCTCTAGACCAACCAACACTGCAAGACCAAAGCCCCAATCCTAACTCACAGTGTTGGTCTATCTGGCATGGTCAACCTGTATCTATGATTATCAGGTGAGGCTGGTCCCATTCTAAGATCTAGTGCAGTCAGCCCCATCCTAAACAAAGGCACTTATATACGGTATGACATATGTCACCTCCCAGAAGCCAAGGAAGGGCAAAGGCCAGACCTTTTAGGCAAGGCCAGATTCTTCACCGCACACTGTAAGTCTGCCCTTTTTAATTGTAACAATTCAATGGTTTTGAGTATATTAACAATGTGCGATCGCAAACATTAATTCTAGAAAATTTTCATCACCCCAAAAAGAAACTGTACCCATTATCGGTCACTCCCCACTTCTCCCTCATCCTTCCCCTGAGACCTTGGGAACCACTAATCTTCTGTCTCTGTGGATTTGACTATTCTAGACATTTCGCATAAACAGAATCATTCAACATGTGGCCTTTTATGCCCAGCTTCTTTTACTTGGTATGTTTTCAAGCTTCATCCATGTTGAAGTACGTGGATCAGTACTTCATTCCTTTTTCATGGCTGAACATTATTCATGTGTATGGATATATCACATCTTGTTCATTGGTTGCAGCACATTTGGCTTGTTTCCACTTTGTGACTGTTATAAATAATGATGCTGTGAACATTTCTGTACAAGTTTTTGCGTGGACTTATGTTTTCAGTTCTCTTGGGCAGGTAACTAGACATATTGCCAGCTTATCCACAGTGCCTCTTGGCCCACTAGCACATCAAGACAGGTCCCCGCAGGGCCGCTCTTCCCTCCTGGGTGGATGCACTCAGCCTCAGGACTATCTGCTATTGTCATCATCTGGGTCCTGGGGCATCTGAACTCCAAAGACAGAGAGAGGGTGTTCCCAGACTAAAACAGGGAGGTCCTTTTAACCCGAAGTAGGATACATGCAAATAATGAAAGGAAAAGAGAATTGTCAGGAAACCAAAACTAAAGAATGGAAGGACCATAAGGGGCCACCTGCTCTAGCCCCGAATCAGACACTTGAATTGCCTCTCCAATATCCCCACTGAGCAGTCACCAGGTGCTCCTGGAGGCCATCAGGGAAGGGAAACCCTCTGCACCTGAGGCAGCTTTCCCAGCCCCAAAATAATCAGAAAGGCCTTCCTTGGGGTGAGTTGAAATCTATTTCCCTGTAGTGTCCATCTTACGGCCATATAGAACATTCTTCAACCTGTTAGCCAAGTAGGCCCCTCAGAAGTGTGAAGGCAGACCCATTTTCCTCAACCACCCTCTCTTCTAGATGCCCCTAAAGTCTTCTCTTCATCCAAAGGCAAGCAACTGCTTCTGTGATCAAGGCCAAGTACAGAGCCCTGTAAAGTGCTTTACAATAAACCCCAAGAGGAGCTGAATCAGCATATCCTTCTCACAGATGAACATACTGAACCTGATCCTGGCTTCAAAAGATTTCCCCACTCACTCAGCATCCAGACATGATGACTTTTACATGAAACACAAAACCACGCACTCACCGGCTTTGATGGCTGTCCCACAGCCGCTTTAAACCTTGGTCAGCCAAACCTTCCAGAATGAGAAGATGGATCTTCCCATCCAGCAGGTGGAAGCCAGTGAGCACATCCAGGTCCTGCCTTTCCTGGATCCTCATGTGCATCTTAAAGGCAGACAGAATCTGCTGGATGTTCCCAGCAGAGTAGGCATCCAGATCAAGGGCCTTGGCATTGATCATGGAGATGTCCTGCAGCAGGCTGGAGAGGAGGGAGATCTTTCTGGAGTCAAACACGAAAATGATGCGGCCAAACAGGGTGCCTGTAAGTTCAGGGTCAGGGGCTTCGGCGCTGGCCCGCAGTGGCACTGCAATGTCCACCCGCAGCTTGAGCTGGGAGTTGGCTTCAAGGTAGTTGCCCATGGGCACTGAGCTGTGCTGAAAGCCATCTGTGGGGACCCGAAACCCCACAACCTTCTTGCTCTTGCCATCCCGGCCATGGTGTGTAGGCTTGGGCTCACACCTGTGGATGGGGACAACCAAGTTCAAGTACTTATGGCCAAGGAGAAGGTCGGCAAAACTGACCTTGGCAACCCCATAAGGGTCCCATATCTTGTTTTGGGATTCAAAGGGGTTGTTCTCTGTCTCTTCCGGAGAGATGAGGGCCTGGAGGTTGTGTGAATCCAAGGGGTCATCCCCAAATAGGGTGGGCTTCCAGGAATACTCTTCTAACTTGCGGTCCCTGTCGTGAACCTCCACAACCATGGGGGGCCCCTCCAGGTATTCCCTCAGGTCACTGGGCTGCATTGGCCCAAGAAAGATGACATTGATGTCCTGGAAGTAGATGTGTACTCCATGGGGCTTCCCCTCCGTCTTGTGAACTGGAGTCTTAAAGAACTTGTACTTGCAGTACACGGGGGTGCACAGCCTCTAGGAGAGAGTGAGGTGACGACAGATCACCAGGATGCAGTGGCAGTCACCCTGCCTCCTCTTTAAAGGAAGAATCCCACACGGGCTCAAATCCTAATGTCGCATTTGTCACCTGCAGCCCCTGTGGCCTGGATTTCCTCATCCACAAATACTGATGAAAACCCTGCTCTGCCAGGTAATCCCTGGGATTAGGTGACATATGTGAAAGCATCAAGATGGTGGCTGACACAAGACAAGGGCTTAATAAGTATTAAGTCATTATTTCCTCCTCCCAAACTGAGTGTCATGAAGACAGTCCACGTGCATTTTGCACACCTGTATTTTTACTTCCAAGCCCAGGGCTAGGTGCAGAAAAGGCGGAGGTAAGTGGTTTTTAGAAAAGGTAATCCATATTTCCCAGACATCCATCTGGAGGGCTGGCATGGGCTAATCTTCAGCATATCACTAGGTATTCAAGGAGAAAGATACAAGGTGAGGAAAGGCTCAGAGGTTTGGGGTTTAAGAGGGCATGGAGAATGAGATGGAAAGGAGGGACAGAAAACAGGGAATCTTGCAACTTTTAACCCTGGGGCTAAGATTTTATTATCAAAAGTTATCCCTTATGCAAGTTTATGATCTGAATTCATACCCCAAGTGTACTACTTATTTTACACAGAAACTGAAAATTTACTTTTAAATAATCCTGGGCTGGTATGCTCCCAGGTACCTGGGAGAAGCAATCAAGAAACCTAGAGAAATCCACATTCAACCTTGGCCTCAAAGAATCCCCACAGATAAAGTCCAATTAAATGTGAGCTCATAGTAAAAAATCACAAAATAACTAAGGTAAAAGGTACTACTAGCAAAATTGGTTGCACAAAGGCATAAGATATTAGAATTATCAGATACATATAAACTAAATATATTTGGTTATGTGTATAAAAAGGAATATCAAGGTCAAATCTATTGTATTTCAATTTACTGGTGATGAATAAAGATATCACCTAGAATACCATAAAAACATAAAATGCCTAGAAAGAAATGCAATAAAAGATGTGTAAGACCTGTACACACTGAAAACTACAAACTATTGCAGAGAGAAATTAAAGAAAATCGAAATAGAGAAATACACAGTTTTCATGGTCAGAAAAATGCAATTAATTCTAGATGAATCATAGATCTAAATACAAAAGCTGAAATTTTACATCTTCTAGAAGAAGACATAGGAGAGAATCTTCATGAACGAAGGATAAGATCTCTTTGACAGGACACAAAAAAGCACTAGTTATAACAGCCAGAGTTAATAAAATGGACTTTGTCAAATAAAGTCGAGTCCTCAACTGGCATAAAATATGGGCAATACCTAAACATCTGATAAAGGACTTGTATGCAGACTATAAAAAGAACATCTATAAAACAATAATAAAAAAGAAAAATTAAAACTGGTCAAGATGAACTTTAAAATTTGGCTAAATGGAGTAAGCACATCCGCCATGTATCTCCCGGTGAATGCAACCAAAAACTGTAGACAGAATGCATGGAGCTGCTGTCAGAGGTCTCTGGAAAGTAAACGGTAATGGGTAGATTGCAGAAAGAGAACAAACTCAAAGTACAACCAATCTAGCTGTGAGTTTCCTGGATTTTATCTTCCTCCTGTATGTCACAGACTGGATTCAAAAGGAAGCCTGAATCCCAGAATTGTGCACCAGGCATTGACAGAGCTCTAAGAGAAGCCCTTTCTTTCTGTTCTAAAGAATGGGAGGAGGGACTCCCCGCCACCACGCTCCCCCGCCACTACAAGATACAAAGAGTAGAGGTTGGGGAGGATCTCCTGTTTTTCTCTCCTGGCCCTGCCCTCATTCAAGTTCAAGTTCCAACGCTGCAATCTGATGGCAGTGGCAGCAACTGGGCAGGCACTGAAAAAACTTTTGTTTGTTTTTTGAAGGTTTTAAGTAATAAATACACCCAATGTGGAGCTCAAACTTACAACCCCGAGATCAAGAGTCGCATGCTCTACCAACTGACCCAGCCAACCACCGAAAGGCACCTAAAAATCCAAAAGAGGGAAATCCTCTTTGACCAAAGGAACTGTGATACAAAGTGTGTGGTACACCCTCGCTATTGTTTTTACTCTACATATCTTCCCACCACCTATTCTCAGAAGCAGTCCAAGTCCCAGGAAAGGCATGTTAGAGTGGAAACACTAAAGATACACCTTTCAAGCCAGCAGACCAGGAAGAGGATTCCTTAGGAACTGGAGAGTGTAGATAGGAAAATCAAGAAAAGGATTCCATAAAGCTATGTGTAAACTTGGGCTTATACCTGAACTATGCATGTGTGGATCTGGCCTTAAGCAGCATACCAGGGGTTCTGAGAACTGAACTATAGAGAGACCACTGCACAGGTCTCAGACTAGCCCCTGAGTAGTGCACATGCAGCACAGGCTTAAATATCACTACAAAATCTTTGAATACTGAATTGGCCTTAAAGCCACAGCTACAGAAGGTAAACTGGAAATTACACCTTCACCCTAACTGTGGTTATTGTCTAATAAAACAAAGAAACCAACATTCTCCATAGGATTTAAAAAGACTCAGGGGCTCATAACATAATATTTAAAATGTCTAAGATATAATCCAAAATTACTTGACATACAAAGAACTAGGAATGTTGACCAATTATCAGGGGGAGAGACAACCAACAAATGCCAACTCTGAGATGACATGAATACTGGAGTTATCAGATGAAAACTTTAAGACCGCAATTATAATCATTCTCCAACAAGTAACTGCAAACATTCTTGAAACAAATGGAAGGTAACCAGTCTCAGCAAATAGAAACAATAACAAAGAACCAAAGGGAAATTTTAGAACTAAAAAATATAACTGAAATTAAATATTTGCTGGATGGCCCAAAGAACAAAATGGAGATGGCAGAGGAACAAGTATGTGACCTTGAGGATAGATCAATAGAAAGTATGCAACCTGAACACATAGAGAAAGAAAGACTGAAAATTAAAAGTAAACTGAGCCTCAAGGACCTGTGGGACAATATGAAAAGGTCTCACATTTGTATCATCAGAGCTCTAGGAGGAGAGAAGAAACTTGTATAAAAGATATCTGAGGAGGCTGGGAAGATGGCAGAGTAGGAGGACCCTAAGCACACACCTCTTCCCACAGATACAACGAGATAACGCTCACATCAGTGTAAATAACCCAGAAAATGATCTGAAGACTAACAGAACAACTCCACAACTAAAGGTAGAGAAGAGGTCACATCAAAGAAGGTGGGAAGGGGAAAGACATGGTTTGGGAAAGAGACGAACTGTGTCGGTATGTGGTGGGAAAGGAGCCAATGTTGCAGAGAAGGCCAAAAAATAGACTTTCACACCAGGGAGCCCACAAAGGGAAGATGAATCCCCATAACATGTGGTATTGAAAGAAAGAGGGTCTGAGTTTTGTGACTGAGACTTAAAGCCTAGAATTTTAGAAATCAGTAGATTCAGCCCTGGGAGAGCCCAGAAGACATTAGAAAGTAGAGTTCTCACCCTTAAAGAGACTGCATAACAAACAACCCAGGCAGACACAGCCTAGAAGCACCAGTTTGAAAAATGCCAGGGGTGGTGGGGGCAGAGAAGAGGGAGAGTGATTCACTCATCGCAAATCATGGCCCAGAGAGGCAGGGATAGCAGGGAAACCTCTCCAGGAACAAAGGAGCTGGCAGGTGCCATTTCCCTCCCCTAGCCCCAGCAAAAACATACGGCCACCTGCAGGAACCAGTGCATCACTGACACTCACTACCTAACTGGCTTACACCAAGGTCTCCCCCACTCCACAAACTTTGGTAGACCTACCCTTTCCAGTCATGCTTGCCTCAGTCCCCACACTGCAGGGCCCTTCTCCCAGAAAACGGGCACAAACTGCACCAACACCTCATCTCCCGACCTGCATATTTTGTGGGACCTTAGTTCTAGCAGGAGCAGCTGTGCTGGCAGGTCTCATTTCACAAGCAGACCAGTGCACACCTTATTAAAATGCACCCCACCCCTGCTGGGAGCCAAACACTGCCCACAACAGGCAAAAACAGCCTCTGCAGGCAACTGGACTGAAAAAAAGGGAGGGTGCCAGGACTCAACAGCAGGGTATAAACAACACACATAGGAGGCACTCCCTGAAGCGCCAGGTCCCAGGGAACAGGGAACACTGAAGAGCCACTATAGGACTTTTTCTTCATAAGACCATTACCTTCAAGAGCAGGAGAAGTAGCTGACTTTCCTAACACAGAGAAACAGTCACAGAGAGTTAGACAAAATGAGGAGACAGAGAAAGATGCCCCAAATGAAAGAACAGGACCAAACCATAGCAAGAGACATAAGCAAAATGGATAGAAGTAATATGCCTGATAGAGAATTTAAAGTAATGATCGTAAAGATGCTCACTGGAGAAAATAGTGGAGGACTTCAGTGAGATCCTTAACAAAGAGATAAAAAAAAGAATCAATCAGAGATGAAGAACAAAATAAATGAAATTTAAAATACATTTGATGGAATAAATAGGAGGCTAGATGAAGCAGAGGAATGATTTAATAACCTGGAAGACAGTAAAGTAACCAAGATGAGCAAATGAGACAACAAAAATTATGCAAATTGAGAATAGTGTTATGACTCAGCAACTCCATCAAGCATAATAACTTTCATATTATAGGGATCTCAGAAGGGGGCGCCTGGGTGCTCAATTAAGCATCTGACTCTTGATTTTGGCTCAAGTCATGATCTCACTGTCATGAGATAGAGCCCCATGTCAGTCTCGGTGCTGGGCATGGAGCCTGCTTAAGATTCTCTTTCTCCCTCTCTCTCTGCCCCTCCCCAACACGTGCTCTCTCAAAAACAAACAAAATTTTTAATAAAATATAAGGATCCCAAAAGAAGAAGAGAGAGAAAAGAGATCAGAAAGTTTATTTGAAGGGGGGCCTGGGTGGCTCTGGCGGTTAACCAACCGACTTCAGCTCAGGTCATGATCTCG